GCAGTAGTAAAATCACTTTATAAAAATGCTAGAGAAATTATGAAAAATAATTAAAACGATGTAAGCAAGTATTAGATTATTTTAAAATTACATTCACAAAGCGTCGTTTTTATTTTACAAACAAAGCATTCGATGTCGCTTCGGAGGGAAATTTGTTTTAAATATTAATACAATGTTAAACGACCACATTGAAACGAAAAATCTGTCGATGACATCAACTCAATTTTATGTTGAAAGCAGAAAGTTAAATTTTACTTCGAAAATGTCGCGTGGATTAATGAAAGAAAGATTTTCGATGTTTTTTAACACTACTTGGAAATATATTTTGCGTATAATTTTATACAACGTAATTAACTTTTTTTAATTAGACGTTAAGGTAAAATTGTCTCAGTAATTAAGTCCTAAATTCCGGTAAAACTGTAAAACGTTACAGGCTATGAGACACCGCCGACACCTAAGAGCGAACCTTCTTCGCACGAAAGTTACAAATCGCCTCCACCTCGCCCATGCATTTGTCATCCGCAATATAATTATAATCGATATCCTAAGGTAACCTTTTTTTCGCTTAAACGCGTTGTTTTATTTGTTAACGGTTTGTTAATCAATGCTATCAAGAGTATCGATGATTTGACACTGAGATTTAATTAATTTTCTATTATATTCAACAATAAAATAACCGAAAGATCATGTATTTCCATTTGATATGGTCCTAGTACATCTCCCCCATTTTCACTTATAAAAAATGTATTCACCTAGAAAAATAAATGAGGTATTAAAACACATATAGTTAATTGAGAACATCCTCATTTTTATGTTAAAAATTATACGAACGTCTGGCAACGTTGTCTTTCATTTATACTCAAAGAGATGAATGTTTTACTTCTCTCTCGATTTTTTAAAGGAAGTAAACGTGTATTTTAATCGGCCTTTACTTACGATATAGACGTGATTACACAACGTTTTCGCTTCAATCTCCAAAGTAAATCTCGAAGACCTAAATAGCTTTAAAAACATTTTACATTTCGCCACTGAGTTTTATTAAATGCACTCGTGGCGGATGAAATGTTGTTTATTTTACTTCTCACTGGAATTGTAAAATACATGTTGATTTTACACACAGACTATTCAAATATGAAATATCTCTTTGAAGTGTTCTGTGAAATGGTTGAAACTGTTTTGACTTTTTTTATTTTCGAACTAACCATTGAAAAACTATATTTATTCAACTTTCCAATGAGTGTGACGTCATAGTAATGTACGTGCTTTAAATAATTTCTATTCTCCGCTATCAATGATTTATCTTCGTCTTCCTTTTATTTGTTGGTATCTAGACCAACAAAGTGGCCTTTAAGCCACGTGATATAATTTTATCGATCAAACGTTGTCGTTAAGGAAATTTCTCACTTATTGTTCGCAAAGATTTCTTGTCTCGACTTCTTAGAAATATTATCCGAATACACGTGTATTTCCTCTCCTACTTAGTTATGTAACTATTATTCTGTACAGTGTATTACTTTTTTGTTATTTCAATTGTTATGTTCTTTACATCATGTTATGCGTATTGATCATGTTCGTATCTGACATTTTTAATTTATAGTTTTATCTATTATTTGCATTAGCGTCTGTAAATTAGTTGGTGTTGACATTTACCATGGTTACATTATCATAAATATATTTTTATAACCTAAATATATCTCAGGTATGTTGAAAATTCGTAGTTATAGAAAATGATTAAAATGAAATTGAATTTATGTTGTAGGATCGTTTTGGAATATATCTGCCGTATGGTTTGTCTGAGTTTAGCGAAGGTAATGCAACAGTAACTCCCGCGATATCTGTAGAAGATTTGTCTGAGGAACAAGCTGAAGAGAAATGCGATCAGAAATCGGTAATGAGTAAAAAGTCCGCCACGTCTGGAAAGAGTGCAGCTAGCAAGAAGTGTGATTTAGAATAATTATTACTAGAATAATTTCATGAATGCATTGGAAACGAAAGTTTTTAGTACTATTCGAATTATATTTTACTTTATAAAAAAATAAACGAAATGATTGAATGTTTGGATCGTATAATTTTGTGGGATGTAAAAAGTAAGGTGCAATTCAATTTTACGTTTATGTTTGAGTTGACTTAACTTTCGTGTTATAAATTAATTAATATTAAACTAAAATCAATAACTGCTTTTCTATTCAGTCGATCACGTAACAATAGTATTTTTACCACACTTTTGGTAGAGTACATTTACACTGCTAAGAAATTTGCACAGACGCAGAATAGACAAAGAGTCTGGAATATCTCATTGGCTGTTAGGTTTTCATTTTATTCTGCACGGGCTAAGTCGCGGTCAAACGCTCGTTTAAAATACATGTGAATTCAGGAACTCGAGTGATTCTCCAACAAATTGTTTACTTTAGATTTAATATACATTTCCGTTGGAAAATTGCACACGCCAGACGCAAAATTGCATTTTTCCTTTACGTAAAGGATTGAAAGTTGTTGGAAATGAAACTGGACAAAAAGCATTACACGTTTCGAACCCTCGGGCAGGATAATGTTCGAGATGAAAGCGCACACGGATTGGTGTTTTACTCACAAGATACTGCAGGTAGATTTCATCTTTTCAAACGAACGTTTACGAAAGTAAACATGTTTGTTTATACAGAATTGCGATGTTTAAAGGCGATTACTTTTATATAGAAGTAAAACTGTCAATTACTACAGACAACCTGGCAAATTCTCTTGATTATATAAGTGTGTTGACACTTATATAACATATGAAGTATAAAAAGTTACTTTTAACGTCAGAAATCAATGGCTCAAGCTCAAGTATACTTCTTAAACTTTTATGTATCCATTACATATAATAAAATTGGTGTGTCTGCTTGTAATATGTAAAGAAAAATTCCAGATTTCGGGAAGATATTTATTAGCGTTGCTGATAACGAAAATCGCATTTAAAAATATTTTGTCTGTCCGCAAGCCGCGATTGTTCCGGGTATTCTCCGAAACGGCAGGGCCGATTCCTATCGGTCTTTCACTGAAGGGTGGCTGACATAAATGGGCATGTTATAGGCTACTTTTTTAATTCCGTGATGAAAAATGCACTCGGAAAATTTTAACAAACTAGTATGTGAAATGGTTAACGTAGGTTTAAGCTAAAATGTATTTAAAACAGAATCTAATTCTTTTATGGTAGGCTCTATTGAATTTAAACAAGTTAGAAACTGATAAAAGGTTCGTAATATAAATCCACTTCACTGTTGTAAGTTGAACAATATGCGTTAACAGTAAAATGGCCGACGTTTTATGAAATTTTGCCATAGAGTTGTAACAGTTTTAATGCAATTCCGAGTAAATAGATTGTGGAGCAGAACGCTTCTGGAACATGATAAAATCAATTTCCTGTTGAACTATAACCTCAAACGACGCTAATAATGTTACGTCGCTTAGTTTATGGATATTTTTAATAGCCTCCGAAGCTCCGAGGGATTATTACTCAGCTTAGACAAAGTTCTTGTCTTGTATTTGAAATAATCGCCTTTAAAGCTAAGTATAATTTATATCAAATAATGTAACATTTATTCTGTTATATAAATCTAAAATAAAATGAATTTAAATCGACATTTTAGAAGTAGAGGTTTAGCTCGATTAACAAAACGTTTCAATCCATTAAATTGCACGAATACTTTGAACGTCCGAGACCAGACTTGGACATCTTTGAAATCAAAGTTGATTTTTAGATGTTTGGAACCTTCTTCAAAGTAACAATGAAGAGGAGTGCTCTCATACGGAACAAACCAAAAGAATAAAAATAGAACTGGTCGTTGCCATAAATAATCTGTATCTTAAAGCTGATACAGAATTAATTCTTTTACAGAATGTTTTTCTCTCCATAACGTAGAAAAACATTATCCATGGATATATTCAACGTTCAGAACTGCATGTATATTTTTTTATCAAACACAAAGGCATGGACAAAAATGAAAAAAATACACAAAATTCAAAACTTTATAATGAAACTTGATCCTATGTGTGCTAGTAATTAAAGCAAGTCTAATCTGCAATTACGATCAATTCATATTCGTAGGTAGAAGTAATTAGATTTGGTCACAGGCGACCTCAGGATACAAGACTTTGACGGTTAATAATATTAATACTCCATTAATAATATTAGTTTGCATGCACGTCAGCTTATATTAAACCTCTCTTTGATGCCCAAGTGCATAGAATAATCTTATCAAGTACAGTCGGGCAATCTGACGGTGCTCCACCTAAAAATCTACAATGTATGAAGCTTAATACGCGTTGACGAACGAATGCAGATTTTAATAGTATCTGTACGAAAAAAGGCTAGTCAGTAGCTCGCGGTAAATTTATTTTTGTTACTATCCAGTTGTTTGTGCAACTCACTGTTATCTGATTGGTTATTTTTAAGAGGCGGAGTTTGGCTCTCTGAAGAACAAAGCATTTTTTGAACACCGCGGATTTACGCGACTGTACATTGGAATAAATTTAATATCTTCAACTTGATGATATTATAAATGTGAAGCTATACAAAATGGTTCATTCAAGGTTTTTAATTATATTTTTATAAAATAAGGTGGCAAACGAGCAAGTTGCCACCAGAATCAGGATTTCTAAAAGCAGAAAAAAGTTAAGAAAGCAATATGAATTGACCTAATTCTTCTTGAAATTATTGATATTTTAATTTGGCGAAATAAACTGGAAACGTGATTACGTGACTCAATAGCATCTCTTAGATTTTAGGTCAATAAATTGACATAGTTATTGGTACACTAGACATGTTTTTTCAGTTCGAGAAAAATATACAGATTTCGCGGTTTTCTCGGATCAAGGCAGCAATCAAATTCACGTGTATCTAGGAAAATACGACAAGATTAGTGAATTGACCTATTACATTATAAAAAATGTACCCAAAATCAATCATTAGCAGACAGAAATTTGCTATCTATGAATACTCGCAAGTTAGTTAAAATATAAAAATAAACATTATTACACACGCATTTACTCTTATTAATATAATAAATGTGAAAATTTAAATTGATGGATGGACGGATGTTTGAGTTTGTACTCTTAATTGCTAAACGGATCTCAATAAAACTTGGCATAGATCTAAAGGATTAACTGGAAGGACGCTTAGGCACTTTTGGTTTTTTTTAATCCACGTGGACGGTGTCGCGAGCTTGAGCTAGTCAAATGTTATTCGTGTTTTACTTTATTTAAAACTCGAACTTGATTTGAGTTTTCCAATATTCTAAAAATAAAAATCTGACTTTGCTTTAAATAGGCTAAAAAAAGATCACTAGTTTCATGATTTTAATATAGGTAACGAAATTCAAGTGCTTACTTGAAAGCAGTCTTCCTTTAGATACCCTATCAAAGGACGGTACGTTTATTAAAAACGTTTATCGCAGTCGAGCGCCGACAGGTACTTATAAGTTTTCAATGCACTTTCATCTTCCTTTTTGTTCGTAGAGAGGGTTTTTAATCACCATTACATTTTGTAAGAATACGAGCAGCGCGAATCACTTCAATTCTAATTTATTACTAGAGCAATTTTAATTATAAAATGTTTCTAGGAATATTATTACAGTGCTTTGATCTGGCTCTAGCTGTTTGCCCGCGTGGAATTAAAAAAAAAACTTACTAGATAGTAAGATTACTTCTTACTAATCTTACTTCTTACTAATATCTTAAATTCGAAAGTTTAGATGGATGGATGGATCTTTGTTAGAGTTTGTAGCCTAAACGGATTTCGATAAAATTTAGTACAGATATACAGAATAGTCTGGAAGAACACATTAGGTAATTACATACTTTTTTTAATTCCACGCGGACGGAGTCGTGGACGAAAGTTAGTATAAAATACAGCCTATGTTACAGATAAATTGCCTTTCTAACTGTGAAAGATTTTTTATAATCCGCCCAGTAGTTTTTACGTGAATGAAATACATATAAAAATCTGAAGATACTATAAACACAAATCTTTCCTTTTATATCATAAATATAGACGAATGAAATTCGTGGATGAAAATGTTTCAAAAGCAACTTGAATTGAAGCTTCAGTTCCGGTCCGTTTTCGCCTCTATGCTTTAAGTGTATCCTTAAATCGCCAGCATTCTCCAACACAGAAAAAGTATTTTAAACTGAACATGTCATCTCAATTTAGGTTGGATTTTTTGTGACGATGTAAAAGTTACGACAATAGCTTCAAATATTCCGTTTGAGACAAAACACCTTTGAATTAAAAGCGAATCGCTACGAGCTTTCGCTGAAAGAGCCGGCATTGCATTGAGAAATGCAGAGAAATTAATTACTCGAAGCTTTGACGTTTTATCTTTATTTAGGGACAAGGAAATTTATTTATCTTACTTTTAATATTGTAAATCTGAAAGTTTGCATGAATGGAAGTAATATCGCACGTAATTTAACGCTTATTTCTATAAACTGAATTTAGGTGCTAGAAGATGTGTTTTTTGTAAAATTTCGTTGTAATTATATTTACTTACTCGATTTTTTTATAAACCGCTCAGAATTCTCAATTCGTTTTAAAACAATATTTTTTTTAAATCACTTTTACTGCGATCATGTCTAAAATTATGGATTAAATGTCTTTTTTACAATAATACTAATCTATACTTACATTATAAAGAGGTAAGATTTGTGTTTTTGGATTTTAGTATGTATTTGAATTGCGGGAAAAGTACTGGAAAGATGTTAAAAATTCTTTTACCTTTAGAAAATTTATCTGAGTAATATAGGATACAGTTTAACGTGGACGAAGTCGCGAGCAATAGCTAGTTAATCCTAAAGAGAATGAACGACTATGTGAATACAAGTTAGCGCAGTCGAAATTCACAGTAACCATTGATTTCGCAGAGAACGTTCAAGTCAACATTACCTGTGTTCCCGTATCAAACGCATTGGGAACAAACAAATGCGATGCACAATCGAAATTCCGTCGAAATTCGCACAGCAACGTTTATTCCGTTCCAGCAATGGTTCACTGCACAAAATCGAACATCCGGTGCAGATGCCTATCCAATGCATACCTCCAGTTAATTAAAAGTGTAGAACACGTGGAATTTACACATGCAAACAGAATGCCTAGTACGTTTGCAAGAATTCATACCAACATCGAAAAAAAATATGCGCCATTAATGCCGGGTTTCTAAAGTTTCCACTTATTTTGTCAACACCTAGTGACTCATTAGGCCCAATGGTCTTAAACTCAAAATACTAACGAATGGTTAAACGTAGCTGGGAAACCGGCCATAAATGGCACCGAACGAATTTTTTGTTGCGATTACGTTAAGAATTATTACTGGCAATTTTTCTGGGAAGAGTATCAGCTTATCGATTATGAACAAAGGCTTATAAATAAATAAAAATTATACATTTTCTTTAATTATAGATTGGACAGATAGATTAGATTAGAACAAGAAGAAAACAAAGGCTTGTTGTTTTTTATATTTTATTTATTTTCGCATAACTTAAACAGAAACGTTATTCTTTTATTAACTAAGAGAAATTACATTACTTCAAATACGCAAAAACAGAGAAAAACGTAAAAAATTAGATATCCGCGGCAGCTTTCTTCTTACAGGAGGCTTCTGGCCCGCTGTCTTTATCTTTGGTAAACAACTCCTTAAAATTGAATGGTCGAAAACAATAACCTTCGCCTTCAAAAAACTTGCTCATAAATTCCACCCTGTTGAAAGTTTTGTTTCTTTTGGATTTATATCTAATGCTAATTCAAAAACAATACTGATACTGAGATGACGTATGATAAAGTTATTTGAAGGAAAAAAACCTGTTGTGACGATCTACGGGAGTACGAAAGGATGATGATGACGATGATGATTACTTATTACGAATAATCTAAAAAATGCTGTTATAGTTGCATTAAAAATTTTCATCCCTAGAAAGGTATGAAATCGGAGTTTTCCTCGTACGCACGATAAGGTATTATCCATGCGTTGCGAGAATCGCATAGGTAGACAGTGTCCCTTAATTCTCTTTGAACATATCTCTTGCGTTATTGTTCTCCTTTTATATTTATTTTTTGCACATGTAGATTTAGTTACATGGTTACGTTGCTCATATTTATAATCAATCAACATACCAATGAAGACGCAGTGTATGCAGGAATGCTGACAATCCTTCCATAACGACTAAAATGGACACTGTGAAGACAGCCCATACAGCAAATATTGCAAAGATTTTCACTGGTGCAAGAGTAGTATGATCTTTTAAAGCTAACTTCGCCATTATCATCGACCACAACATCTTGGATAGTTCTAAAAGGAAATAAATAACTTTATAAAATACATCACATATTTAATTCAACCTCTAACTAGTCAGTTTTCAAGATTCTTTGCTAAACTTAATTATTTAAAAGACGAACTGTTAGCAAAATTACATCTAAAAATCGCACATTAAAATACTAATAAATAAATTCGAGTAGTAGTTGATAATATCTACGAGTTGTAACTCTTGTTTGCTGCAGCAAAGGGAGTCCTGAATTTCCGCTCTGCTTCAATCATTGACATACAAGCTGTAAAGCCACGATCAAACCGACAATGGCTCTTGTACATATTGATGCAACAGTTCAACTGCTGTTCCCGCTTATCGCAGTTTCCATTAAACGCGCCTTTACAGATCCATGTAAATATGGGCGAGTGTCGCTTTGACGCTCGGATAAAGGATGTGGATTTAACAATGTTGATACATCAGTTGTTTTAACGCTCACAAACTGAAACCGTGGTGCGATTCAAGCCAACGCTTTAAAATCAATTCGAAAAGTGTTCATTGAGGCGTTGATGCAACATCAAAAGGTTAAATGCAACGATCCAAAAACGTGTACGCTTTTATTTCGTTTATTGTAAAAAAAAATTATTAGCTGGTATATTCAAATACCAGCATATTTGGATTATAATTAATGGTAGGTTTGTTGACTTACGTTGATGCGCTAGAGAGAGTGCCCATAGTCGAAGATAAGATGCGGTGTGTGATACAGTACTAAGCGTAAACTCAATGCTATGAATTGCTTGGTGAATTAAAATCTCGCCAAGGGGAACAGAATATTTAGCTATTTCCGCGTTAATTCTTTCTTCGGACTTCGACACGGATCCCCTATGTTGATACTTTCGAAATTTACTGTCAAATCCTGATTTCTGTAAAATGACAAACGTGAAATTATAGTTACAGTAATCTTATAATCACATGTTTATGGTACTAATTATTTTTAACTACCTTATGCTCACGCCTCGGTCAGCGCGGAATGATGTTAAAAAAGTAACCTATATAGCTTATGTGACTATATTCTATTACTGTAGACCAATAATTCTCAACCACTGTGCCGCGGCACTTTTGTGTGCCGCCAATTTTTTATTATTAGATTGTAATGAATCCCTTAATTAACGTTTAGTTGTTATTGTAGTATGTATTAGTTTATTTTGTATATTTAAATTTTTGTCAAAGTATTTATGCAGTGTGTAGTAAGTAAATAATTTGTATCATTTTCTTTGTGTGCCGTCAAATTTAATGAAATCGTTAAAAATGTGCCGCAACAAAAAAGAGAATAAGAATCATTGCTGTAGACCCTTACCAATAATTCTTTTCTTTTCTTTTGATTTTTGGCGTAAATATATAACGGAGTACCGAAAAACAGGATAGGCACACACAATAATGCTACTAGGAGAAGGCACTTTTGCAAAGATTGTTGGAATGTAAACATGTAGGCGTCACATTCCTTGGCCACAGGCTTCGAAGTGGTGAACAGTGCCATATCAATGAACAGAATAAGGATGAGAGGGGCGCATCCCGGCCCTCGCTTTATGTCCGCTGTTAGCAAAATAAAATAATTCATTAATCAATATAAAATATCCAAGCAATGTACTAATTCGAACTATATAATTTTGCTATTTGAAACATGTAGGGACTTACATATTTTAACTTTTACATAATAACATTTCAAAATAGTTAAAATATACTTACTCGATTTTCCACTAAACATAAACCATTTCATGTATATTAAAATAACCAGCCACAAGAAAATGCAACATAAAAATAAAACTTGAGGAATAAATTGAAGGTAAATAGCATAATATCGCTTAAAATATCTGTGAAATAGAAAAAAATAATTATCGACACGATTTAGTCTATAGTTAATTTAATTATTGTTATATTATTAGCTAATTAAGTAACTATTTTTATAACCACTATATCGACCTATTTAAATCGAATTTTAAAGAAATGTACTATCTTATCATATTTCTACCCAAAACACACAACATACATATAAAAAAGAACGAAAGAAACTTGTTCTAAAATACTTACAGGTGATTAAACAAACTTAACGTCAAACCGAATATCATATGTATTATTCCTATAATGATAGACATCTTCATTTTCATAGAATTACCATTCATAATATTATTAGTTGCGAACTAAAAAAAACGAAAAAGAAAAAAACCACTGTTAAAAATGATCTACTAACAATTCAGTCGAGGTTTCTTAATCAGATAAACTTTTATTTTATTTGACTACTAGCGGTGTATATCTCATGTCTTTTCAAATGTACACCCTTCCTGTTAATGTCCCGTTTAATTTTCAAAATTGGTTCTGCCTATTCAAAGACATAATAAAATCTTCGCTTTTGACATAGCTGAAATTCTCTCCGATATTCTTCTCAATTGATTTTAAAAAAATTAAAAAATTACCCCCCAAAATGGATCAACACCAAAAGCATATGGTGGGTTAGTTTCTAATAAAGGGTCAAGAGTTATATAGTGGCTTCCTTGTAGATCAGCAAGAGTGTACGTATTCTTCCAATAAGACTCCATCAAATACACATGTTTGGAGAATATGTCGTTGTATAATATCCCAAGTATTGCAGAGAATATACCCATGAGGAAGATCACATATCGTCCTTTAATAGAAATAGTTAGTATTAAAACTTTTATATACGGTACGATTTTTACGTATAAGGTTATAAAGAAGCTTTTTAATGTTAAACAAATACATTTTTATGTAGCTAACTGTACATGGTTACCTCAACGGGAGTATGCTATGGCCAACTCACTACACTGCGGTGAGTGGCTTATTGGTAGATTTTTGTCCATTTATATCCAAACATCATTTATCAAACAACCAACAATTTCACATCTTATATGTGTACTACATTACTAAAAATCTTACCACCAAACATTATGTTCCAAATTTCATTAGGTGAGGGTATACCCATATGTTTTTTCTCCGTAAGGATCATCCAACCACTAAATAGGATCAGTATACAACCGTGTCCAAAATCACCGAACATTATTGCAAATAAAAAGGGAAAGGTGATAATCGTGTAAAGACCTAAAATTACAACAAAACAAATAACATAGTCGCGGAATAACAATGTAATATTACAAAGTTCTAAATTTTCGAACTCTCAATTTACAAAAGTCAAAAGGAGATTTAAAAATAATTAGAAGTCATCTTACCAGGATTCAATTCTCTATATTTTGAGTCACCATATGCATTTATAAGCGTTTGAAATCCGTTAGTAAACTTGTTGGTTCTGAAGTAAGTTGGCGGCATCTCAGTCGTCTCCGTCTTTGATATGAATGACGGCACATTAGTACCAATTTTAGCCTATGGAAAGGAACAAATAGCATTATCTACATCTGAAACTCAACAGATCTTTAGAATCTTATTAAAGAAATCTTACTTTATTACCAATCAACAAAGACTGCATTAATACTGATCTCGATTATAAATTACAATACAGCATGGAATTCTAATTAGGAGTATTTAAGAAAAAAATCAAAAGAAATCAAATAATTACCGAAACCTCTGACAAAACAACGTTCACTCTTTCCAAATCACTTTTAGGTACCCAACATTGGCCGATCAGACAATTCTTAGTTATGTCAATCGAGAACATGTTCATTGTGTGGTAAATGGATTTAGATTTTCTAACTTGCATCATCCACAAGGCCCATCGCTTACCCACAGTACGAAGGGCTTTACAACGATGATATTTTGTCTTTCTAATGACCTGCACAATTGTATTTAAAAATAATAAAAAAATCCCACACTTTATTTCATAACATTAATTATTTGTAATACCATTACAATGTTTATGATTAATATGATGATTCAATTCATTTAAATTAGCCTAATGACTGCCCATCCAGCGGTTGGCTGCCAACAGATTACAGCTAACATCTCACCTGTTCACTGAGCAGACCATGTTGACTGATCAGCACCTTGTAATCGTGCCAAAATATTTCTGTAATCATTTCTCCAAAGGTATTTTATAGAAAGTTCACCACTTGCCAAACTTAGGTATGCGGTACGGTTATACCTTCTACAGTCCTCTTAAGTTCTTTTAATTCTATTTTTACAATACTAAATCTACTATCAAGTTGTGCTCTTTATTTTACCAATGTAATTCTTAATTAGTAAATTTCTAGTGATGTGATGTTATTTAAGTTGGTTTACCTGTTCTAAATCAGAAACCCTTGTGTTAAGCTTCAGGGTCATCATTAGTCGCTCGTCTTTTGTCTCAGGACAGGGATAGATGTTCACTCGAAAACCAGAGCACACTTTCTCCATTCGAGAACTCAATTGTTCCCCCTGACATATCGCAAGGAATGCCACTTTTCGTATATCTTTACCCTGAGTTACAAACAATACAAAAAATAGGACAGATATTAGGCTGCACTAATCTATCATGGCTATTAAAGTATAAACATCAAGTCAGCTAACCGTGCTTGGGTCCAGCAAAATGGCATCTTCTGTTGCCTGTCTGTAATAAATATTTCCTCGAGATACCCTCCAGAGCATCATCTGGAAAGGATAACTTCTGCTGCGGTGCACTACACCAGACAATACTACCAGGCGACCGGCGCTTGTTGACTGTTCACCTGCACCACCTCCTCCCTTCCTGAATATGTATATCTCGTATTATCACTACCTCAATACCTATAATCGTGAGTTTAAACTATCGGAAGACTTGTACAAAAATAACAATTAAAATAATCGCTTTTTTAAAGAGAACTAGCTCACCTAATAGGCATTGTCTTGTCTAAATTAGGAATCTTTTTTTTCAACGTTCCGCATTTTAAGGTACTCGTAAAACTCTCGATTACCTGGTACTGTCCCGCCTAGATCTAGGCGTAATGCATGCAAGCAAGAATGGGGTTACGTTTTGATAAAAAAATTCTTCTTCTTTATCCCGCTGAAGCGGCGACAACGAGGCAACAGTTAGACAAATATCGAGGCGGGGTAGTGCCGTGAGGTTGAGGAGTTTACTAGTGCGCTACAACCTTTAAATTACCTTGATAAAAGAGTATCCGGTGACAATTCAGCATCTCCAAGCAGAGGTCCGATTTGAGTCAATAAATATAACATCTCCCTCAACTCTAAATAGTTGTTTAATAGGTTTGTTTGATTTTCAGACATGTCGACGATGTCTGCCTCCCATTTTTCTAGAGAATTCTGAAGTATTTAAAATTATACTTTCATTTTTGCAATTGTTACCCTAATGAAGATTGGCAGATTTTGTGAATATTTTAATAAAGTCAATAAAATAACTATTCTATTTTATAATACAAGAACAAACTTCGAACTAATTATTTACGATCCTAATCTATTATAACTTATGCAAATAACACCCATGCCATTCTCTCTTAATATTCCGTTGCCAGTATAGAGATAATTGTTTTAATAAAAAAGGAAACTCAAAGTGTAAACTACGCTACGAAGAAAAAATAACTGTCCAAGAAAAATGAAGACAGTAATTAATTTCCGTCTTCTTAACGCTGCAATAATGTAGTGTAAATTTGAACTTTCATTTTTAATCGTGAATAATCAAAACAACACACTATTTTGCGAAATGATAGTAACAGAAAAGAGACTATATGGAATGAAAATTTTATTATATTTGGTACATGTAAAAGTTTAATGTGTGAATTTTTTACCATGATACTATTGTTTCTATACCAAAATACATAAAACACTAATAACATCATAACTAATCTTTGACATATAAGAAAACTATAAAATTGTTAACCGCAACTATAGATAAAATACTTCTAATGTTCAATGAAATCAAGTCTACTGAAAGTCGTTGCTTTATATTTAAAAAGAAAGTAAAACTGACCAAGTAATCAACAGAGCTAATGAGACAAACTAAAATAATGAAGAAAAATTTAAATAAAAGCGCTAACTTCAAACTGGGACATTTCGTGCGGTTGTAATGCCGGAGGGTCGTGGTCGAGAGCAGGGATTTTAATACTATCCTTTTTCATCTCGCCTTCCATGTAACGAAGTCGACGTTCCATCTCAGCACAACGACAAACTTCCGCAACATAGTTCCTTTCATAAGGCTTTACATCTGGATTAGCCTGCAAAAAATAAACAATGTAAACAAGTTAATAAACTAAAGCAGAGATTCTGCTTTGCAATCAGAAATATTCTAATTGTAAATTCCTGGAAAGACACTGGCATTGTTTTAATTATATCATCAGTTCATTATCACTGGAGTACAACTAAAATAAGAGAAGTCTAAGAATTTAATCAAATTATCGATAAGTTTTTCAATGTTCTACCTCAATATCTTTATTTATCAGACATTCTCATAGCGAAGGAAAATCTAAGCACCCTGTTCGTTTCGGCTAAACAATTCATATATGTGCGAAACCACTAAACCCTGTACCAGCATGATTAACTATGTCCTAGTCACCCGGAACTAAGAATAAAACTCCTCGATGGAGACGTATAGTGACTTAATTGTTTAAAAAACTAAATACGCGGTTCCAAAGCATAATGTTACCATGGCACTCACTGTTGTACGTGACAACGACTTTTAGGCGTTTTGTTTTTAAACATTTTAAACTGAATAATTAATAATAGATTTGAAAAAGTGTTACCTAGTTTTTTATTAAAGAAAAAAAACAATGACAACATTTTTCAACCAAAAAAGAGTCTATCAGATAGTTTTTACAAAATGTATCATTTCTGTTTCTGCGCTTTTTTAGAATAAAATAAATAATAAACTAAACGTAAACTGTATGTACGTAATATCAACTTACGTCCAAAAATTGCAAGCAACCCATTTCACCGAATCGTGACACGATGTCGAATGCAGCTTCGGGCTGTAGGTACACATCGCATAGCGCCATCTCCTCACTCCTTACCATACCAGTCATTTTGAATATTTATTTATATCCTCGTACATATATTTACTAGTTATGTACCTGCAAATCAAATATTTTGATGCAACTAAAATAACAAAAAACGGTTATGTCATAATTTAAAATGACGTTAAGTTCTTTTGATGACAATTACTATTTTTATTAAACCAGTAACAATTAACGGTTTCTTTTTAGTTTTCAAAACTAAAATCATATTTCTCTGATGATTTTTTATTATAAATGTTTTCTTCCCACACTTTACAAAAAAATGATGGGGAGTAGAAGAGGACTTGGAAAGGAGGGGAAACTGTTGTAAATGAAACCTATTTGATGTTTTGCAGTGTAAGACTGGCTGTATTTAAATAATGACATATGTTAATTTAGTTTGAGTTGTTCGAATGTAGAGAAAAAGAACATGTCTAGAATAGTATAAAAATAATATCTTGTTTTTATACACAGTTGTATTACTATTAGTTTATATGAGAATAAATAACAAACTTTATTTATTTAATCATTTTGTGTGCTGGCTAAACCAAATTCCTATCAGAAACATCCTCTTTCTGTGTATCCCCTGTAATTTTTTTATTACAAATAAACCGACCTTTAAGAATATTTGTGTATATTGTAATTTGTTTAATACAAATAAAGTAAAAAATTACTGTAAATACACAGTATACTTTAATATCAGAAGGTCTCTGTTTGTTGGTGTTCATTATTTTTAGTATTTATACAAAAATGGACAAATCATAGGTTTTCTATCACTATCTAATAAACCATAGTAGCGAACTCGTTCCTTTGTTTAATTTTATGAATATGTATGTGTTTTTAAATATGACTAAAACATTATCAATCTCTGATATAAAGTATCAGTGCTTGCTATAGCTTCAAACTAAACTTCTTCAACGTTCTTCTGTTATACCTCGATCCCCCCGAGAATTGCAGCCAACGCAGTAATTTACTGTTTTCCAACTATATTTTAAGGTAGGCGCGTAACTCCCAAGAGCTCGTAAACCTATTTTGTTCCAACGCATTATACTCAATCTAGAAGTACCTTTTGAAATAATTTCTATAAACTCTAGGAAAGTTAACAATAATCCTGATAAATATGGATTAAACTGTTAGATGTGTCTTTTATTATTCCCTAAATCAAGGCATAGAGGGGGCGAAAAAGTTTAAATTAATATATTTCGTCGTCACTCATTGCCACATAAAGCAGCTATTTAATATTCTTTCATATATTTATACAATAAACTACATGTATACCAATCTTTTATAGTATAAAAATGTACAATTAGCTTTTGTCCGAAACTTCGTTTGCGCAGAATTTATAATTTTTAAAGCATGATCACACATGAACAGATTATAAATTACGGTAAATCGCAATCTGTAAACGTTATTGAAATGAAGGAAGAATTAACCGTTAAAATTATCTTTTTGAGCACTATAGCATTTAAAAAACATTTTTGTGGAAAGCCTAGTAGTATACTTGGAGTGTATTAGATTTTTAAATTTCAGTAAATGATTTAAAACAGTAGTAAAGTAAAGTTTTTTTGTAAATAAAACGTATTCAAACGAATTATGAGATAATTTGAACATTTAAGGTAACATGGAGGAAGTAAAAAAAGATGCAAACGTGGATGTATGGATGGCAAACGTCCCCGCGAGCCACGAATTTAGAGTCATGACCCAGTAAGTAGTATAAAATGAATACAAATACGACATTTTTTCTTGAAGACATCAATAATGATAAGCTCGAAAAAGTTTAAATAATTCTATGTAGTTTATTTATATCTTTCACGAAAACAAAAACTAATGAATCAAAAATTTAATCAATAATTTCAGAGAAACTTCCAAGAGAGGGATTACTTCAAATAATTCATTACGGAATCTAACTAAAACTCAGAATTCTGATGGGCAAAACAATGGACAAAATCCAAGAAACGAAGAACAAAATTTTTCAGGTGCAAACGCAGGCGCAACCATTGTAACCAGACTAGAAGTCTTCAAGAAAATGTTTGTAGATTAAATAAGAATTCGTGTAGATAACTTGGTAGTATATTTTTTTGTTATTAATGGTATTTCATACTCACAGGGATAATAGCCGAAAACCTAAACTCGCTGAAAAATCTCTTCTCCGCCATTCTTCAACCGAAAATCCAGAAAAATATGTTAAATACGTAAACACAAACAAACCCTCTACTTCCGAGGAAGTTCCATTGAAACGTGTACCACTGGCATTATTTTGTTCAGTCCAAAAACTGTTTCCTACCGTGCAATTAAATACACTGGATGAAGGGAAATATCCAAAAACCACATATCGTTTCACGCCGATTGTGAAGGACGAAGATAATGATAACATAGATAATTCTCTGAGTCAAATTTCTTTAGGAAATACGTCAACCAGTGATGTCTCTCCAAAACAGAATGTTACATCGGCTGGTACGGTAGGTTCTTATACCTCATATCAAGGCAGGACCGCATATCCAGCTAGGAATACTGGGAACATTAATATAGAAAATACATTTTTTATACCAATTGGCCAGTATCATAGAATCGGTAACGACAATCGCAGGATTGGCCTCAAAAACACTGGATCCTCGTGCTATATAAATTGCGTGATGCAAGTTTTGCTTGCCACTCACAAGTAAGTATTCATTTCCACATTATTTACATATTTCGTAATGGAAATAAAATGTTCGATATTGTAACTAAATTACTAATGAGATTTTTTAACATTGTCAAGGTCCTAATCGATTTCATGTTTATATTTCCATCCACAACTTTTATCTTAGCACAGCTAAATTTGCTATCAAAAATTTCTAAATTAAATATTATTATATTAACTGTAAAATAACACTGTTGTGACACTTGTATCATATTGTTATCTCTGCTTTATCAAGAACAATAAAAATTGTAATTGAACAGGGATCACAAAATGTTTAAATTCAAGCGTCTTGGCAGTATAATTCCATGGTAAAATTTAAAAAACAACGATAAGTATAGAAATAAATTATTTAATAATAAATAAATTAAAATATAAATAAACCTCTGGGTGGGAGCACCCCAATACCAGCTTCTTCCATTTGACCGCATACAACGGAGAGCGACTCGAATCGTCAACGACCGAGCTCTTACCGATCGGCTAGATCCTCTGGCCTTGCGGAGGGACGTCAGTTCCCTCTGCATATTTTACCGCATTTACCACGGGGAGTGTTCCAAGGAGTTGTTTGGAACGATTCCTGCCGCCGAGTTTCGTCATCGGACGACACGACAGACCGCCAGGTACCATCCTCACCATCTCGATGGTTGGCATTCCACAACCGTGCATTTTCGGGGAACTTTCTGCCCCGCACAGCCGCGTTGTGGAACGGTTTGTCCACGGCGGTATTTCTAAACCAATACGACTTGGGGTTCTTTAAGAAGCGGCCCTATCATTTCCTCAAAGGCCGGCAACGCATCTGTAGTTCCTCTGGTATTGCCGCCGCTCGTTTGCCCCCCTTTATTAAAAAAAAAATAACAAAAATAACAATAAGGTATTGTCGTCCGTATATGTTTACCGCTCTAGATTGTCGAATTCTTTATTATTTATAACTGTTTTATTTTAGGTTCAGCACGTTTACCGTCACGAAAATGTTCTTATATCCTTATTGGGCCGAACTCGCAGAGCTGTTCGGATCTATGATGTTCACTGTGCATCCCGTTATAAACCCTAAAAAATATTACACAGGACTAAGTTCTCTGTACTTCAACATTTTTCAAGAACACGATGTATCCGAATTCTTTTTGTAAGTATTAAGTTAAAAATGTGTTAGATTTATTGACTATCGTGTAAATAAATGTTAGTTTTCAATTACATTTTCCTACATGTAACAAATGGTTGTATTTTATTTTAAAGGATGTTGTTTTTATAGATATCTAATTGAGTTGCTGAGAAGTTTCGAACCTAACTGGGATAGAGACTGGTCTGATGAGGCCCGATCTTCTACATCGTAAGAGTTTTTTTTTATTATTACACCCATTATATGTAACATTTTCTTATTGTTCTAATCATTGCCTAACCGTCCGTATTCGATTAAGTAGAGATGACACAACTGGTTTTCGTACTTCAAATATATCTTTATTCATCATTGCTTCGGTTGCAATTGTATCAATTTTCAAATTATCTATAAGATAATCTTTAAGTAACAAAGCACAAAAAAGGTGAATTATTTATACATAAGAAAAATTTAAATTACGTATGTTATCAAACCGCATCTAGCATTATTATATTATAATTTCTAACGGATCTAGAAGAGTTTATCTTGAAAGCAATGACTATTAAATACGCAGAAACAATACGATAAGTAGTAAATTTAAAACGTAACTTACAATAATTATCAAATCTTCTAACCAGGTCTGAAGTACGGGATCGCGCCGTGGCTGGATGTTCTTGTAAGTTTTTTTTTTATTATTTACTACTTCCTATCTATAACAATCTATTAGTACAATTGCCGAAAAGTCACTGACATCAAGATATCCAATAAGCTGTAAATGACTCAAGCGATTCGTGGCTCGTTTGCCCGCTTTTTTCTATAAAAAAAATATATGTATTATTCTATAGCCTAATTCAATTTCTGTTATAATTGTTCAACCATTCTTAATATAAAAGTTTTAACGATAATTAATAATAAATGGATATTCACAGATCAGGCACCCGAAGCTAAAACTAAACAAAGACCAAAAATTATTGGTTTCGACGAGTCTAGAAAGTTCTTTGTGAATAATATGTTCGGTGGTGTTGTCGCTACTTCAGTGAGATGCGATGTGTGCAGTAACATTTCAAACAGATATGAATTGGTATATATGTTGCATCTGTCGATTCCCGATATGATGTGTGACGAAGTACTTACGACCCAGATGCTTTTGGATAATCATTTCACCTCTGAAACCCTGTCAGGGGCGAACAGCTATATGTGCAATACATGTCGATGCCAACAGAACGCTCAAAAGTCCACGATTGTCGTTTACACACCAAAACATTTAATACTAACACTGAAAAATTTCAGGTATATATTTCACTTATTTACTTTTTAAATTACATTTAAGTATGCCAACATTTTATACACGTGATTCTTAATGGAAACATCAAAACCTTTGTAAAGGTAGAGGATAATAGTTCTCTTGTATATCCAAAGTATGGTAAGAGATTTTCTATAGTTTTTAAGTTATTTTTTTTTGTATATAAGTTTGTAATTCTCAGATTCACGAGCTTATATTTGAAACAAAAAAATATCGATAATTTACCAAAAAAATTACGTTTCTTTTCCAACTTTGGAAAGGTGTAATTATCTGTTACAGCAAACAGAAAACTCGGCATGCATTTGTTTTTCACGTAAAAACCGTACTAAAATAGTTGAGGCAAACAGTATCTTGTGATTTTCATATTCAATATACCTATGAAAATTAAATTTAGAAAGGAAATTTAAAAATCAATATTACAAACGTTTTCATAAAAAATACGTACTTCAGGAAAATTCTATTGATTTGTTACAGTTATGACCCGAAATTGCGCGCATCAAGTAAGAAAAATTCAAAGATTCGTTGCGAAGAAACTATAACATTGCATTCTAGTACGAAGCAGAAGGACCGCAATATTTATGTGCTGTACGCTGTGATAGTTCACCATGGACAATCTCTCAGGACTGGACACTACACCGCGTTAACAAAGTACCGCAATCAGTGGTATATGATTAATGATTCTGAAATCAACACTATAAACTTTAATGACATGAATCGTCTTAAAAACAACGAAACACCATACATGCTATTCTACAGAAGAGCAGACATTAAAGAAGGGTCGTTCCCTGAATATGACAAAATACCATGGTTCTCGCGATACGCAGAAAACCAGCCCGATGGTTCGAGTAATAAATAAATAAATAATTTATACAATTTTGAAAACAGCTAAGCTTTTTCATTTGCGTAAAATGCTTTTAAAATATATTATACTAGCTGTTCCCGTGTGACTTCATCCGTGCGAAATTATAAAAACTTTATTTTATTGTTTACAATTGTAAAGTTCTCAATTGCAAATGTTAAAATTAAAATGACAACGAAGGCCTTTGACATTGTATACCAATTACCGTTGCCATGGCAATCTTGCTTTCTGGATGTTGACAACTTGTAGTGTATGGGCCCTTTCCCAAGTGAAGGTTAGGTGTCGTAAGTGTAGCGCGTTTAATTATAGAAAGAATTTTTAAAGAGCTTTTTATTCAAAAATATGCTGTGATTGCTGACATTCTACGCCACGAAGTAGTGTAGGTTTACGCTTGATTATATTATTATACATAAGTAAGGAATAAGTCTAAATATGGAAATGTAGATTTAGATTAGAATTTCAGCTAAAGACTGGGAATATTGAGTAAGACACTCTAGATTATAAGGCATTATTAAGTTTTTTGCGATGTTCTTTTGATTTTTTTTTAATAATGAGTTAAGTTTTGAAAAAGCGTCATTATTAAATGTACATGATATTTAATCGTAATTGAAACTCATAAATTTTAGACAAACACTAGGAAATAGGATCGTCTTTGTTACATTGTTTCAGTTTGAAGTTTCCTTTTTTAATAGGTTCGTAAGTTTTTAAATGTATGGTTGATAGTAGATGGCCTATACCCAGCAGGGGTCATGACAATAAAAAAAACGGTTTAGCGATTTTTTCTGTATCATTTGTATAATGCATTATAATATGTAAATTATTGTACCCTCCTTACCGCGCCAGGGGGAGGACGAAATAGTGGCATAACGCCATCTATAAAATATTGTAACGTGTCAAAACAAGTGAAGTTTTGTTATTATAATTATAATCCTTTTAATTAAAGATATAATACAGAGACAATTCTTGTTTTAATATCCCCTACTATTGATTCCTTACTTATCAAATCCTTAACTTCTTCATTTATATTATTTCTTGTGAAGGACTTAATAAATAAAAAGTTTTAAATGTTTATGGATAACAGTGAACACATAAAAACCGTTGACACAGGATTTACTCCTAGTTATATAATTGAAAAACAAAAAAAATAAACCGACTGACTAAGTCTAAGAGCGGGCGCACACTTGACTAAAATATCGCGCAATTATGGTATTGTGCGATTGTCGACTGTTTTGCAACCAATTCAACTGTTTAGATTCTGATTTAACAATTATGCGATGGTTTAGTTTCTGGTGTGCGTCCGTTCTTATAGACCAATATACTTTAAAACATTAAAGAGAGATAAAGAAAAGAAAGTTATGGCAAGTGGGATTCGAACTCGGTTATTTCACTATTCTTTTTAGAATTCTATATCTTACGTCCACTGTAGGTGTTTTGTGCTTATATAGCCGATGACACATCGGGTTAGAAGACTAATCGATTGAATTCTGTTAAAATCGATTCATTCGTTTTAGAATGTATGTACATACAAACCCACGTCAATAACAAAAGTTACATAAGAGTGGAAAACATAATCCTTCTGTCAGACGGATAAAACATTAGATAGCATAACTGAATATTGTAATATTGTAAGACATTGTTATAGAAAACAGCTTTGATATTTACTTATTACAGCATAACTTTACATGCTCCGTGTTTATCTACTCTTCTTGTTTGCTGAATGACACGAGGTATTTACATTTTAAATGCTAACTAAACACCAACTATTAAACTGTTGGACACTCTTAGAAGATAGTTCAAATTAAAAATAGGCGTGGAAATTTCTCTGATGTTGAAGATGGCCATGGACGACGGTGGTCTCTTACAATAGACGTCCTATTATAAACCAACATAAATGATAATATACATAAAAACAAGGATGTGTTACTAAGCTGTTCCATATCAGACCATCAACAGATGTTTAATTTCAAACAGCAAGTTAACTAACTGTATAAATTATAAATGTGATGGAAAAGAACTTAAAATTTGTAAGAGCACAATAACGAATTACGTAATTATCAAATATTATCATTATTCAATACAGGAAATATCTAATAGGAACAAGCTTATATAACTACGCTAAAGGAAAGGTGTAGCAACACAATCAGCAAGTAGAATGTGGCGGGAATGCTTCCGCCGGAAATGTTGATACGTTTCCGAAAGTGGTAGGGGACTCTAGGGCTGGATAGTCCCTGTAGACAGTCAGTAACGAATTAAGCGTAGGATACTGACGTGTGATTTATTTTCACCTTTTACTAAATTTACGATCTTTTGAATGTTTGTATTTATCAAAGATAACGTAGAAAATATTTTGCTAAACTACAAGAGTTTATCCGCCTCAGGAAAGTATAAAAAATAATGCTTATTTTTATTTATAATTTAATTGGGTAATGTTTATAGCACTTTTGTAAGTTTTTTTTTTATGCGTGTTTGTTAGTTCCATTGACCGGCTATAGCCTAAATGGCTGTACTGATTTTGACAAGTACAGTTAGTTTTTTTTATTAACAAATCGTGTTGATCGATTTTAATTTTTCGTCTTTTAACGTTTTGTTTTTTTAACAAATAATACTTTTTAGTTCTACCCCAAATACTGCATGTTAAGTAAGTTGTATACCTTCGCATATCTGTTTTCCTTTATATGTGCGAATAAAATTGTATAGTGAATGTCAAGGAACGTGCCAGGTCTAATTGCGAGGGGCTGGATATGAATAGATGTTTATGTAACAACATTTTCAATTGTACTTTATAATTTTTAATTGAAATGCGATTTATATTATTTTTCGCACAAATCATAAAACTGTAATTGGTTAAATCTAGGTCAACTTTATAAATTAAAAAAAATAACATGACATAATGAACACAACACAAAAGAATTAATGAAATTAATCCAGCCGAAGCAGGCTACCATGATCGAGGGAAATATGAATTCATTTTATAGTAGAAAAAAAATTAAAAATTGTAAAACTATTGGATAGTTAAATAACTACATTCAAGCACAGCAAGTCAGCGAAACTTGGTAATTTACCGACTGTATACTCCAGTCAACTGTACAATGTGGTGCGGCTTCTGTACGCTGAGAATAGTTCTAGAGAAGTCAAAGTTTGTTTCCATTGTATCCAATCTGCGTCATACGACGTCCTACGGGTAAGTGATATAATGTTGATTTTGAAACCAATTTAGGAGTCCACGATAATCATTATAATATTTAAAGTAACTTAATCTAAGCAAAAATATTACAATAATGTCCTGGGGGCACTTCAATTGACTTGTTTATCACATCACTTTCTATTGTGCGCAAAATAATTAGTTGCATAATTTTCAGCAATGTGATGAGGGAATTTTTATTTCTGACCAAGCTTAAATATTTTACATCTTACTAATATTATAAATGCAAAAGTTAACCTAAACGCTGAACGAATCACGATAAAATTTGGCATAGACGTAAAGGATAGTCTAGAAGAACACATAGGCTACTCACTTTTGTTTTTTTATTCCCACTCAGACGGAGTCGCGGGAGAAATCTAGTAAAATTATATAACGGTAAGGGGCCCGTTTCATTTCACTTTATATTGTTTACATGTATCTCTATACATTCCATTGAAGACCTTGTCAATCAAAACCGCAAATAGTTTAGTATTGACCCCATTCCATACGTATGAAAAAATGTTTAAAGCATTTTTTAAAATAATGCTGATATATTCAGTCATCGAACGTTTATAATGTGATTTCAAGTGAAAAAGTATATTAAATTCCATTAAATTAATAAAAGACATAAAACGTAAATACTTCGTGTCGTCCCTAACAATGAACACGTAGTATAAAGGCGTTTATTATACTGAAAACAATAAGGCAGATATCCCCAGCATTGAATCTGGCTGCCAAGCGACAGTCTATTGTGTAATCATATTTTGTCATATTTAACGTTCTCAGTTCGCTTTGATCCTTATATTTGTCACAATTCATCTACGTTTTGTAAACAAACAATAACGGTGACCAAATTAAATTAGAACACATTGGACTCTTACCTTTTGTGTAACAACTTATGTTATCTGTTAATAAACAAAGATTTATTTAAATGAAGATATAAATGTGTCATTCGTTTATGGTTATGAAAAATAGTAATCAAATGAAATTTGCCTTGCTTTCTCATTGCGCGAAAAAGAGGAAATTATTAAATTAATAATAATTATATAAAAAGCGAATAAAATCATTTATTAATCTTTCAAATTGTACTCTAAATCATAAAATATCTCAACCACTCAAAAAAGATATAGATATATTGTAAATAAAGATATAATTTAATGTTTACTTGCTATAAATATCTTTATCTAGCTAAAAGCCTACGTCATTTCAATTTACTACGCATCAACATTTTTCATATGAACAACAAGGGCGGCGGAGGCGTAAACTTCAATTTTCGGACTAGGAAATCATCTGTAACAAAAGTCAATATATTTCTGTATAGCTCACAGTTAAACATAGTCACGCCTACGCGAGTCCATCGTCGCAAGCGCCGCTACCGGACTGCCCAGTCCCGACTGGTACCTCGACGCCTGAACACGCATCAGGTCAGTGGAAATTTACCTTAACTTCCCATATCTGTTAACGCTGTAAGCGAATGCATCCCGTAAATGTGATATGATTTGCAGTGCGATATTTTATACCAATTATATTTACTATATTTATTTACGATTTCAAAAAAAAAATCTATCATATAATTTTCTTTTCCATCCGATCTTATTGCATGTTCGAATTACATTCGCGCGTTTTATTTTTAGCTGTGCCGTTTAACACACTGAGTGCATACAATACGACTTGTCGAGCGAACAAAAACCGGGTTTTGGAACTAAAAATACCTACATATCGAATGTTTGAAATCTATTTTAAATCATTCTCAGTGTTCGGCGCTTGCGTTGAAATCAAGACGTAATACCATTCAGGAGATATCCAAGAATTTGAT